CTCTCTGGCACGTGAGGGGGCAGGCTGCAGGAGGACCTCACCCCTCCAGGATGCTGTATGGATCCTCACCCTCAGAGGAAGTCTGAACTGAGCAGCCTCCCCAGCCTGGAGCCACTCTGCATCTAGAATGACAACAGGTACCATCTAAGGCAGGGGCATTTTACATAGTGCTCTTACTATTTATTACCAAGAAGTAATCATTCAGAAAGTCCCCCAAGTAGGCTTTTATGTAGAATGTCATTGTCCAGAATGCTTTGACAGCTTTTTATTACCAGAAGGCAGCCCTCTGGGCCCTGTACACATCGGCTTCCCCAGCCCCACCCCTGAGCCCTTCAGTTGGTTCTATTGAACTCCTGTGCGGAGGGAAATATTTATCCCTTGATCAATGGAAAAATCTCTGGTGAACAGGTGTTTTGGGGTCAAATCGCAGAAACAATGCAGGCTGAACACCTGCGTGTTGGGTGACAGCACAGGTGTGGTTGACATTTGCTTTCTATGCACTGTCTAGCTTCCTTCTATGCTTCTCTATTGGGAAATTATCCTTATTCGCATGGAAAGAAAAGAGAGATGTGTGTGATTTCCAGAAGGTGCATAGAAACAGCAGCGGCCAGGCTTGTGGTTAGGGTGTGCCCCAGGAGCCCAGCCTCTCCAGAGAGCACCCTGAAGGTGTGCAGGCAGGCCAGAGGCCTCCAGACCTGCAGGCCTTGTAGCCTGAGTGGCCCTCCCTGCCAAACGCCCAGTGTGACAGCTGCTATTCCACTTGCAGAAAAACTGAAATTCAACACTGAGCTCACGATCCAGAAAGAACAAGTTGCTCCTGAAAGATTTCCCATGGGAATAAGAATTCTGCCGTCAGACTTAGGATAATGCAAAATTGCTGCAGAGACAAAGGAAACTAGAAGCAAATCACTAAGGAGTCCTTTAGACAAAATAAACCCAATCTTTCAAGAGCAGAAGCCTTTATATTTAGATTCTCCATCTCTCCCAAGGAGGGGGCGGAGGGATTGTTTCCATCACCACTTACCCCTGCCGCTCCACTTACCATCTCATCTATAAGGATCAGGTGCTTCCGCCAGTGCGGGCTGCGCAGGCTCCCACGAGGCAGAGCAGAAGGCAGTGGCTGGATGCCCACCATAACGCTGGGTGTAGGGCCGCCCACCAGAGCCTCTACCTCAAATTACCCTGTCCACTCAGAGCACTGTCCACCAGTGGTGCTGAAATGAGGAGTTTACAAAGGATATAGGGCTGGGCACTAAACTCTCAGTGGCCAGGATCAGAGCCGGCTTTCCTGGCACTGGCTAGAGACAGATGTGTCTTGGATCAATGGGGATCCTGAATGTGACTGCAGGGGACCTGGATCCCAGCAGTTGCTGCCCTTACAGGCAACAGTTCCATGTATCCACTGGACACCTCTGCTCTGGCCATCACAGGGTTTCAGAGCTTTCTTCTCTCTATGATCTCTTCCCATGGGATGCCGGGCTTCAGAGTTAAACTATAGGCTCAATTGGGTCCCTCAAAATTCATATGTGGAAGTTTTAAACCTAATGCCTCAGAATTGGCTGTATTTGGAGATAGGGTCTTTAAAGAGGTAATCAAAGTAGAATGAAGTCACTAGTGTGGGCCCTAATCCAGTATGACTGGTGTACCAAGAAGAAAAGGAGATTAGGACACAGACACACACTGAAGGAAGACCAGAAGAAGACAGAGATGGCCATCTACAAGCCAAGGAAAGGACTCAGGAAAAACCAACCCTGCTGACACCTTGATTTTTGACTTTCAGCCTCTAGAATTTTGAAAAAAATAATTTATCTTGTTTAAGCTGCCCAGTCTGGGATACTGTGTTATGGCAGTCCTGATAAACTAACATACAAGTCTAGTGTGGTCTACATTTAGGATTGGGGTTGCCTCCCTAGGTCTGGGCTAGGAGAGGTGACTTCTTGGGCCCCACCAACTCTGAGCCTTTGTGGTCAGCCACAAATAAGGCCAGCTTATTTTTGATACTTGCGACAGACAGCTTTTTATTAAGAAAAAGAGTCAGGGTGTGGTGGCTCATGCCTATAACCCCAGCACTTTGGGAGGCCAAGGCGGGTGGATCACGAGGTCAGGAGTTCCAGTTCAGCCTGGCCAACATGGCGAAAGCTCGTCTCTACCAAAAATACAACAATTAGCCAGCATGGTGGTGCATGCCTATAATCCTAGCTACTCCAGAGGCTGAGGCATGAGAATCTCTTGAACCTGGGAGGTGGAAGTTGCAGTAAGCTGAGATCGTGCCACTGTACTCCAGCCTGGGTGACAGGGCGAGACTGTCTCCAAAAACAAAAAGGAAAGAAAGAGAAAGAATCATCTTCCATTTTTAGTTCTCTTCGCTCTCCCTAGTTTCCGATACCTTCAGTCCCTGTGCCCCTCCCTCCTTCTCAGGACATTTCTTTGAGTCAGTCTGCAGAAGGCTACAGTCTTCATTTGCGAGGCACTCATCAGCCCCGGCAACACCATCTTTTACTTTACACCCAGTCAGTCGTCAGCATGGTGGTGCACCTGGTACACAGCAGGCGTCTAGCTAATGTCTGTTGAAAGGATTAATAAACAAGGTAATCAGCTACATGAATGTTCCCATGCATTATTTCTTCGTGGGAGTAGAAGGGCAGCAGAGATGGAAAGGAGACAGGTAAAAGAAAAGAGGAACTTTGTTTCAAACTATCCAGACCTGCTCTTCTCGGCTACAGATCAGACCACAACTACCTGTTACAAGGAATATTGCCTTTACGTGGGCGTTTTGTGGCCCAAAATATGGCAAATGTTCTTGGCTAATTAATGTTCCGTGTACACTTGAGAAATGCTGTTGTTGGGCGAAAAGTCCTATAAATGTTCATCAGATCCAATTGGTTGGTCCTGTTGTTTGGGTCATTTATATCCTTACTGATTTTTCTGCCTACTTGTTCCATCATTTACTGAAAGACGAGTGTTGAACTCTCAAACTGTAATTGTGGATTTCTCTGTTTCTCCTTCCAAATCTATTAGTTTTTGTCTGTGTATTTTGAAGCCTCTGTGGTGAGGTGCAAACACGTAGAGAACTGTTATGTCTTCTTGGAGAATTGACCCCTTTATTACTATATAATGCCTCTATTCCTGATTATCTTCTTTGTTCTTAAGTTTACTTTAAAATTAATACAGCTACTCCAACTTACTTTTGGCTGGTGTTTGCATAGTGTACATTTCTCCATCTATTTCCTTTTTTTATTTTTTAACTGTAAAGATGAGATTTTGCCATGTTGGCCAGGTTGGTCTCAAACTCCTGGCCTCAAGTGATCTGCCTGCCTTGGCCTCCCAAAGTGCTAGGATTACAGGCATGAGCCACTGTGCCTGGCCTCCATCTATTTACTTTTAATCTATGTATGTCTTATCTTTAAAGTGGGTTTATTATAGACAGCATGAAGTTGAGGCATGCTTTTTTATTCAGTCATAGTCTTTTAATTGGCATGTTTAGATCATTCGTATTTTAAATGGTTATTGATATGGTTAGATTTAAATTTACCATGTGACTAGCTGTTTTCTATTTGTTCTATTTGTTGTTCCTTTTTTCTCTTTTACAACCTTCTCTGTGTTTATATTTCTATTATTTTATTTTATTTTGAGAGTGTCTTACTCTGCCATTCAATCTGGAGTGCAGTAGCTCAATCACAGCTCACTGCAGCCTCAACCTCTGAGGCGCAAGCAAGCCTCCCACGTCAGCCTCCCAAACTACAGGTATGTGCCATCATGCTAATTTTATTTTCACAGGTAGTCTTCCTATGTTGCCCAAACCAGAAGTATATTTTATGATTCAATTTTATCACTTCTATTAATATATCAATATTGAATATCCCCTCTATTAAAGTATTTCTATCACTCAATTTTATCTCATTTATATTTATAAAAACAGTTTTAGTGGTTGCTCTAGCATTTAAAATATACATTTTAAAATAATCTGAGTATGCCTTCAAATAACATTATGCAATTCCACAGTTATTGTAAGGGTTTTATAAAAATATATTTCCAATTCTTCCTTCCCATTTCTTGTGCCTTGTTTGCCATACATTTCACTTTTCCGTATGTTATAAACACATATTCTATTGTTACTATATTTGCTTTTAACAATTATCTTTTAGAGGAAATATAAATGAAGAAAAAATGTTTTACTTTGCTTTTATTTATTTTATTTCTGATGCTCTTTTGACCTTTATCATATTCCTTCTCCCTAAAGAATCTACCTTTATTTTTATTTATTTATTTATTTATTTGAGACAGAATCTCACTCTGTCACCCAGGCTGGAGTGCAGTCGTGCGATCTCTGCTCACTGCAAGCCCTCCTGGGTTCACGCCATTCTCCTGCCTCAGCCTCCCAAGTAGCTGGGACTACAGGCACCTGCCACCAGGCCCGGCTAATTTTTTTTGTACTTTTAGTAGAGACAGAGTTTCACTATGTTAGCCAGGATGGTCTTGATCACCTGACCTTGTGATCTGCCTGTCTCGGCCTCCCAAAGTGCTGGGATTACAGGCGTGAGCCACCGCGCCCGGCCTAAAGATCTACCTTTAATATTTATGGTAGAGTAGGTTTACTGGCAATGAATTTCCTCAACCTCTGTCTGCCTGAGAAGGTTTTCACTTCTCCTATCTTTTTAAGGATATTCTAAGTAGGTATAGAAGTTTGGATTGCCAGCCTTTTTTTTTTTTTTTTTTTCATTTAGTACTTTAAAGATGTTAATCCATTGTCTTCTGGTTTGCATGGTTTCTGACAGAAGTCTGTTGTAATTCTTATCCTTGTTCCTCAATAGATAGCATGTTTATTTTCTCTGATCGCCTTCAAGAGTTTCTCTTTGTCTTTGACTTGCAGCAATTTACACATGATATGTCTAGGTATGTTTGTTTCTTTGTTTTTGATATTTATCCTGCTGGTGTGCTCTGGTATTCTTAAGTCTTTGATTCTGTGTCTCTAGCTAAGTTTTTAACTATAAAGTTCAGTGTCTGTACAGACTGTCAAAAATTGCCAGTGCTGACTATATTTCAAGTCATCATGGTGGAGTATTAGGAAAAGTTTTCAGTTAGCAATAATCGCACCTCAGATAAACCTCATTGGCTATGATACTGCCACTGCATAAAGCTCTGTCACTAATTTTCAAAAGTTTCCAGCCACTATTTTTCTCAGATATGTTTTCTGCCCAATTTTCTCTTTCTTCTTCTTCTGGAATTCCAATTATGCTTATATTAGACTGTCTGATATTTCTGATATTGTCCTACAGTTCTTGGATTATCTGTACTGTCTTGAGATTCTTTTTGCTTTTATCCTTTTTGCATTTTATTTTGGGTAATATGTTTAAGTTTACTTATTCTTTACTCAACTCTATCAATTATACTGATGGGCCCGTCAAAAGCACATCTCATCTCCATTACTGTGTTTTGTTTCTAGTATTTCCATTTGATTCTTTATAATGGTTTCCATTTCTCTGCTGAAATTACCTATCTGGTCTTGCATGCTGTCTAGCTTTTCCTTTAGATCCTTTAACATATTAATCATAATTAATGTCTGATAGCTCCAACATCTGTGTCATATGTGAGTCTGGTCCCAATGGTTGCTTCGTCTTTTCAGACTGTGTTTTTCATGGTTTTTTTGTATGCCACATTTTTGTTGTTGCTATTGAGAGCTGGAAATATTAAATAGAACAATATGGTGAATATTCCAGTTCCAGGATCAAATGCATATGACTAGAGACAATTTAGGAATGACAAGAAGTTATGTGGAGGTTTTTATAACCTAGAGTTCAAGTCTACAGTGGTTTGGAAATGGGCTTTGAAAAGTGGGCAGTTTAGACTTTCCCCCCACTTTAATTTTTTTTTTAAATCAGGATAAAGCATACATATGAGTTTGTTTGTTTGTTTAATCCTAGTTTATAACAGAGGTCAGCAAATTTTTTCTTAAAAGGCCAAATGACAAATATTTTAAGCTATGTGGTCTCTGTCACTACTCAACTCTGCCATTATCAAAACAAAGTCAACCATACACTCATACATCCACATACTTATACAAATGAGTGTGACTATGTTCCAATAAAACTTTATTTACAAAAGAGGCAGCCAGCCTGTGGGTCATAGTTAACTGACTCCTGAGCTATAGAATAATATTAAATGAGCAAAGCCTTGCTCTCCATGAAGCAGTCCCGCTCTCCAGGATAATCACATTTAACTATTTTCTGTATTCTTTGGGTGGATGCACCTATTATCTAGGTAATACAGGCTTATAACTCTATTTCTTGATATATTAATCTATTGAGACCCCCTCACCCAACCATGAAACATGAGAAAATTTCCTCCCAGCACTTTGGGAGCCTGAAGCAGGCAGGTCACTTGAGGTCAGGAGTTTGAGATCAGCCTGGCCAACATGGTGAAATGCCATCTCCAGTAAAAATACAAACATTAGCCGGGCATGGTGGCAGGTGCCTGTAATTCCCAGAGACTCAGGAGGCTGAGGCAGGAGAATCACTTGAACCTGGGAGGTGGGGGTTGCAGTGAGCCAATATCATGCCACAATACTCCAGCCTCAGCAACAGAGCAAGACTCCATCTCAAAAAATAAAAAACTAAAAATTAAAAAACTTTTTTTTTTTAAATAAAATTTCCTGTCTTACATTACCTCTTTTTTCTGTGGTAAGCAGGTAAGCCTACCCCTAGAGGCCAAAGGAACTGAGAGGAAGAAGAAAGAGGCTAACAAATCCAGTGTCTCAGAAAGAAACATTTAGACTGGGCATGGTGGCTCATGCCTGTAATTCCAGCACTTTGAGGGGACCAAGGCAGATAGATCCCTTGAACCCAGGAGTTTGAGACCAGCCTGGGCAACATAGTGAGACTCTATCTCCACCAAAAACACAAAAATTAGCTGGGCATGGTGGTATATGCCTGTAGTCCCAGCTACTCTGATGTGGATCACTTGAGCCTGGAAGGTGGAGGCTGCAGTGAGCCATGATCATGCCACTGCACTCCAGCCTGAACAACAGAGTCATACCTTGTCTAAAAAAAAAAAAAAAAAAAAAAAAAAAATCACTCTGTTGCCCAGGCTGGAGTGCAATGGCACGATCTCACCTCACTGCAGCCTCCGCCTCCTGGGTTCAAGTGATTCTCCTGTCTCAGCCTCCCAAGTAGCTGGGATTACAGGCGTACGCCACCACGCTGGACTAATTTTTATATTTTTAGTAGAGATGGGGTTTCACCATGTTGGCCAGGCTGGTCTTAAACTCCTGACCTCAGGTGACACTCACCTGCTTTGGCCTCCCATAGTGCTGGGATTACAGGCATGAGCCGCCGCACCTGGCCAAGAAAAAAGAAACATTTAATAGGAACTAACTAACAGAAGCAATATCTCTGGTGGCCGAGAGATGGTTGATTCCTGTACTTGCCCTCCAGAAAGTAGTCTTTATATAGCAAACTGCTTTTGGTAAAACATGTACAGTTGGTCACGTCTCAGACCCTCCTGCAAAATTCGTGACCACTGGGGAAGTTAGATAAGCATTTTTATAAGAGTTGTCTACGCTACAGGCATTGTTTCTTGGCCTGACTGTGGGAATACCTTGGTATTCAGGAGTCAAACATCGATCCTGATGGTGATTTCACCTCAGGTGGCATTACTCTTGCCTTGCAACAGGCTGTTTTCTTACACTCTTTCCTCTGCAACCCTCCAACACTTGTCTTTTATCAACATATATATTAATAGTTTCTCCCATTGGTTTGTTTCCCTTTATAACTTTGCTGTTTCTTTTTCCATTAACAGACCATTCCTCTTGAGCCTCCCCTCGGCAACATGAGGATCTTGCTATTCCTTCCTCACCCTGCCCTTCTCCCCATCTTTGCCCGACTGCTGTTAATGCTACTGTAACTTTCACAGCACCCATCTTATAATGTTTGCATTCTGTTTTGTAAATTAACTAGGTCTTTGATGCTCTGCCAGAAGTTGATTCTAAAAATTGCAAACCAAGAAACAATATTTACATTACTTTAATTGTATAAATATTAGTCATTGCAGAACTAAGTAGTGTGATTGGAGAAATAAATATAATTCACTGATACTAAATCAGTTCCAAGCATCAAAGTCACACGGATTCTTTTTTCTTATACTCCAGTAAATACTCAAAATCATGTCACGTTTCAGTTTTCAGTCTAACCAATAATCTTCAAGAACTCTTGTTCTCTGCACCTTTTCTGGGTCAACCTACTGCTGTTTCATGGAAGCAATGCGCTCACATGGCGCTCTGAGACATCCACATCTTGAATCCTCTCTGCTTTCCCTGGGAACCAACCTTGGGCCACTTATCTTGGTTCTTCTCCTTGAAGCTGTTAGTTCTCCTAAAGGATATCTTGAGGAAAGCTTCAGTTCTTCATATTCTAGGGGATATTCAACAGAACATGGTTAATCCGTTAGGCCGAACTGTTTTCTCCTTTCTCCCTGTGTATTGATATGATTGATATTTTAACAGCCCGGAAAGCTAAGAGTGACGTCAACAACCTCAGCTGCACTGAGAGTGAGGTGAATCACTCCAGGAGAGTTCTGAACCCAAACACACACCGGCTTGAGTGGTCCTGGGCTTGCTGTTCCCAACAAAGGCTCTTAGAACTCTCTTTAAGCCTCAGTCAGCATTTGGTGATCCAGTGGGTGTTTTCCAAGCCAGGCTGTCAGCTTGAAGAGTTCTCCCTTGGGGCAAAGTCCTTTTAGCATCTCAGTTCAGGTGATGAGTTCCCTTTAAAATGCTGAAGGGACCTGATGTGGTGGCTCACACCTGTAATCCCAGCACTTTGGGAGGATGAGGTGGGCAGATCACTTGAGGCCAGGAGTTTGAGACCAACCCTGCCCAACATGGTGAACTGCTGTCTCCACTAAAAATACAAAAATTATCTGGGTGTGGTGGTGGGCACCTGTAACTCCCAGCTCCTCGGGAGGCTGAGGCAGGAGAGTCACTTGAAGCCTGGAGGCAGAGGTGGCAGTGAGCCGAGACCATGCCACTTACTCCAGCCTGGGCAACAGAGCGAGACTCAAATAAATAAATAAATAAGTAAAATGCTGAACAGGTTAATCCCTTGACCTTCTAAAACGAGGAAAGCTTGGTTCCAGCGGCCGAGCACAATGCACAGAAAGAAATGACGTGAGTCATTGGTTCCAGGAACTCCATACTCTCAGCGAGGGGCCCTCAGAGCAGCAAGTGCCAGTGGAAGCATCTCTAAATTAATTGAGTCTCTTTGTAAATCCAAAGGATAAATTAAGTAAATGAATTGTCTGAGGCCAATTGATTTGTAGTTCACATTTCCTCTGCAAAGGCTTGACTACAGATTTATTCACGCATTTCTGAAGCCACATGATTTAGTGCTGAGGCCTTCTTGGGCCTTTGATAACTGCCATGATTATTAAGGCCTTGGAGGATATAAAGTGTGTTTTTCCACGATATTTACTTATATCTTCTGTACAAAATGCATAAATATGTTACCAAGAATGTTACTAAAAACAGAAAAGAAAAGGTATGTTGTTCTTTCCCCCCACCCCCTCCAAGGCACTGCTTAAATATCATCTGCAAATTGTTAATTGTTCAGCTTGCACTTTTATGACAGGGTTGGACCTGGGGAATGAAAAGCAGCTCCCGGTGCTGACACGGGGACACACCTGGCTGGCAGCTTTGTTTTCAGAATGACAAAGAGTGTAGGCTTCATTCCCTCATTCTGTAAGAGGGTACAGTGGGCATTGTCTAACTTTTATTTCAGCTACTTAGAGGAAAAAAAGCTACCATTACACCTGTGATAGTTAATTTTATGTCTCAACTTGACTGGGTCACTGGTTGCCCAGATAGCTGGTTAAACATTATTTCTGGATTTGTCTGTGTGGGTGTTGCTGGAAGAGATGACCATTTGGATTAGTGGGCTGAGTAAAGCAGATCGCCATCAGTAATACAGGCGGGCATTGCCCAATCTACTGAAGACCCAAACAGAACAAAAATGGAGCAGGAAGGAGGATTTGCCATCTCTCTGTCCGATGCTTGCCATCTTCCCCCAGTGCTCCTGCTTTTCAGGTCTTCAGATTCAATCTACACCACTGGCCCTCCAGCTCTTGGGCCTCTGAACTAACCCCCAGCT